CCAAGTGGTTAGAGCGCGAATTTACTGACCGGAAGGTCTGTGGTTCGAACGCGACCTCTGCCACTCGACTTCTCCTGACTAGGCTTGGGCGACCTGGCAGTATCCCAGCCCTCCTCCGAGTGGTATGGTAGCTAGGCAGCGAAAGGGTGTTACAGCTGAACTATTATTTATTTGTTAGTTTTTTTAATCTTCGCTCCGTAGGAACAGTACATCTTGGCCAATAATCTCGAGTACTCTTACTAGAGCAACCGAACGACCCAACTCTCACAGGTGACCAAACAGTTTAACCTTGTACATGATACCTTGAACACAAAATAGTCGAAGATTTCTCAGGAACCTCATGAGTAGTGTGTTACGTTTAAAAAACGGAACAAGATGGCTCAGTATTTACAGCGCGAATTTACTGGCCGAAAGGTCCGTGGTTCGAACCCGACCTCTGCCTCTCGAATTTCCCTGTCTAGGCTTGGGCAACCTGGCAGTATCCCAGCCCTCGTGCTTCCTTCGGGTGGCATGGTACTGAAAGGATCCCACAGCTGAACGATTACTATTAGTAAACAACGTATTGGGGTGTTTCGAATACCGTACCAACTGAAACATGAGGCGACTTGGTGCACCACATTCAGTTGAGTCTCCCACGAAAAACCAAATTTGTTTGCAGATGAGCGCGTTTTTAAAATACACTGATTGTGCTTCCCACTCAAGTAGAAAACGACATAGGATGGATGAGGGAGGCACATACGGCACAATAAAGCGACTTTCACTGAGGAACAATACGTGCCGATACGTCACCACCCAAAGACACCGGAGCGGAGTTCAGAACCAGGTCTAAAGAAACTGCAGAATCCACCAAGTGTAAAGATTGTACTAATGTCAATCCGATAATTTTACGGGACCATACAAGAGAACATATCATCGTTGACTGGAAATCGATGACATAATTGTGCCAAACAAATCACGTCACATGATCACAAGTACTNGGGCAACCTGGCAGTATCCCAGCCCTCGTGCTTCCTTCGGGTGGCATGGTACTGAAAGGATCCCACAGCTGAACGATTACTACTAGTAAACAACGTATTGGGGTGTTTCGAATACCGTACCAACTGAAACATGAGGCGACTTGGTGCAGCACATCCAGTTGAGTCTCCCACGAAAAACCAAATTTGTTTGCAGATGAGCGCGTTTTTAAAATACACTGATTGTGCTTCCCACTCAAGTAGAAAACGACATAGGATGGATGAGGGAGGCACATACGGCACAATAAAGCGACTTTCACTGAGGAACAATACGTGCCGATACGTCACCACCCAAAGACACCGGAGCGGAGTTCAGAACCAGGTCTAAAGAAACTGCAGAATCCACCAAGTGTAAAGATTGTACTAATGTCAATCCGATAATTTTACGGGACCATACAAGAGAACATATCATCGTTGACTGGAAATCGATGACATAATTGTGCCAAACAAATCACGTCACATGATCACAAGTACTTCAGATGCCACAAAGAATCGAAAAGGTGGACACAGACACTTACTGGACTCAGTTTTGTGAAAACTGGAAGTGTGATCGTAGATTTCTTCAACAGAACTTCTCCAAACTGATCCCTGTTCATTGCAGATGGAAACAAAGAGAATGTGGTTGACAGAGAAGTTGGAAAATGGGTCACAGAAAAGTTTACAAATCTACCAAGAATACAAAACCAGCATTCGATTGGCGAATGCTCAAATGTCCGGTGCAGAGTCGAGTGATGGGACTTAAATCACTGAGACCAGGGAGGGGTATGTTAACGAATTGGGAGCAGCTGAAAAGCACAGTCCGACATTTCCAATTAACAAAGCGGAAACTGAGATTGGGATAGCCGGCCAAGTTACATAGACATGAAGAATCAAATTTATGCTGTTTTCCGAACGGTGGAAAAAAGTAGCTGGTTAGGTTCCAAATCGAGGAAGTATCACCATTCAGTATGTTCTGGGTCATATACCGGAAACTGATCATCATTGGAGCACAACTGAACAAGTAACTGGGACCAACAGGTAGAAGAAAGAGAACAGTATTGCGATGAGCGAAACGACTGCGCGCCAACAATTACCAGCGAATATTTGCTGCTAGTGTGTTGCTGTCCTTCTAGGCGAGGCCTTGAGCAAACAAAAGTGGTGAAGTATATGCAAAACGAACGAGCAGAAATAACATCGAACAAAAATTAGGCGAGAGAGCGGTGTACAATGGGGGGATCAAATCTGAGGCTACACAAGTTGACTCTTCTATGCATCATATCATTTCTGTTCTGTTTCTTCAAACGTATACAAGTGTACGATGAGCCCGGTTGTCAGACGCCTTGGCAACCAACGAAGAAGGGAGAACATGCGAGAATGGCATTCAAATAAAGAAAAGGAAACCGGGGAAGGGTGCTAATTGAACACACATGTGTGGCTCGTTCTGCGACTTAGCCATATCGACGAAGGCCTACAGCTCTCGGTTGGGCGAATGGTCATCTGTCCAACCTCGGACAAATGTGACCAAGACCGTGAGTCCGGCTCTTGAAAAACCTTACCGCCACATCATAGCATAACCACCAGTTGCTTTCCTACAACCCACCTTTTAAAGAGCAAATAAGGTCAGCGTAAGAAAACGAGCTTCAGAAATGAGTAACACAACCAAGCAAACCTGTGTAAATGTTGTAGGTGGTTGTGGGATTTGTAGAATTTGAACAGTCCCCCCTTCCGGCCCAATGCAATTATTTTAGCGGATCCAGTCCGCTCCCCCCCCGTCAGATGTGGACTCACCTGGAGAAGAAGGGAACTGTTCGGACGAGGTTGATATGCACGTGATGCAAATGTGTTAAAATTTCGGTCCAGTGGCCATTGGACAATGTATTTTAGTGTAGGAGGTGCGGTGCTCCACTAGACACCACAAAGTAGGACATCCACTATTTTTCGCGAAGTGGCCAACTTTCACACCCAGACAACGGGCGCTGGTCGCATACCGGTGCCACATGATTAAGTTGAGGCGGTAGCGTACAAGCTTTTTCTACCATAGCACTCGTTTCGTCGCAATGCCACCAACAGAAGCAATACAACTATTCAGATAGAGATACTTGGTAATTGGTTTCAATCGTTAGCCTGGAACGAGTAGACCTGGTAGTGTCTCGGAACAGAACTTCGTATTTTGGTAATGTACGGCAGTGAAGCATCAGTGCCAACACTGATGTTGCTGTCTCTGATAATGATGATGATTTTGATAATGCAAACAACATCCTCAAACCAGCAGTCGGGTTAAGTAAATTGTTTTCCAGGGTCCGAACCAAGTAGTATTTGCCGGGGAAGTAGATCAACTCCAGAGACAATTTGACCGACTCCACCAAATTACTTCGACTACGAGAGTGAAAAGAAACAGCATGCCCTTTGGACAGCATTTTTGGTAGTGAAGCGAGGAGAAAAAATCCCTTAGACCTTTACACATCCACTGGTTTTAGAGTACAGTGATTCGAGAAGGGAAGTGAGGAATTCGTGACGGTATATGCAAATTAAGCAGCACCATAAAACGGAGTGATCCACCGAGTCCAACGCGGTTTTCGGACAGAAGAACATTATTACCATTGGTTATCTGTAAGCGTGGCAGATTCTTGACTGATGAAGCAAATAGGTCAGTAGTCGTGGGACTTCGATGCTTTTACCCAAGAGGCATGACATCTTGGGTTCTTCCAGATTACCCGAACTTAGACAGGATCACTCCCGAGATAGTTCTAACTCATTAAAGCTGCTTTTCCGTTTGTGAGAATAACCAACCTTACCGCCACATCATAGCATAACCACCAGTTGCTTTCCTACAACCCACCTTTTAAAGAGCAAATAAGGTCAGCGTAAGAAAACGAGCTTCAGAAATGAGTAACACAACCAAGCAAACCTGTGTAAATGTTGTAGGTGGTTGTGGGATTTGTAGAATTTGAACAGTCCCCCCTTCCGGCCCAATGCAATTATTTTAGCGGATCCAGTCCGCTCCCCCCCCGTCAGATGTGGACTCACCTGGAGAAGAAGGGAACTGTTCGGACGAGGTTGATATGCACGTGATGCAAATGTGTTAAAATTTCGGTCCAGTGGCCATTGGACAATGTATTTTAGTGTAGGAGGTGCGGTGCTCCACTAGACACCACAAAGTAGGACATCCACTATTTTTCGCGAAGTGGCCAACTTTCACACCCAGACAACGGGCGCTGGTCGCATACCGGTGCCACATGATTAAGTTGAGGCGGTAGCGTACAAGCTTTTTCTACCATAGCACTCGTTTCGTCGCAATGCCACCAACAGAAGCAATACAACTATTCAGATAGAGATACTTGGTAATTGGTTTCAATCGTTAGCCTGGAACGAGTAGACCTGGTAGTGTCTCGGAACAGAACTTCGTATTTTGGTAATGTACGGCAGTGAAGCATCAGTGCCAACACTGATGTTGCTGTCTCTGATAATGATGATGATTTTGATAATGCAAACAACATCCTCAAACCAGCAGTCGGGTTAAGTAAATTGTTTTCCAGGGTCCGAACCAAGTAGTATTTGCCGGGGAAGTAGATCAACTCCAGAGACAATTTGACCGACTCCACCAAATTACTTCGACTACGAGAGTGAAAAGAAACAGCATGCCCTTTGGACAGCATTTTTGGTAGTGAAGCGAGGAGAAAAAATCCCTTAGACCTTTACACATCCACTGGTTTTAGAGTACAGTGATTCGAGAAGGGAAGTGAGGAATTCGTGAGGCTATATGCAAATTAAGCAGCACCATAAAACGGAGTGATCCACCGAGTCCAACGCGGTTTTCGGACAGAAGAACATGATTACCATTGGTTATCTGTAAGCGTGGCAGATTCTTGACTGATGAAGCAAATAGGTCAGTAGTCGTGGGACTTCGATGCTTTTACCCAAGAGGCATGACATCTTGGGTTCTTCCAGATTACCCGAACTTAGACAGGATCACTCCCGAGATAGTTCTAACTCATTAAAGCTGCTTTTCCGTTTGTGAGAATAACCATAGGCTGTGTGTGGTTGAAGCATTTTTATAAAAACAATTCCAAAATAGTATGAAAAGAATGTGTAGGGTGAGGAACCAAACGAAGACGCTAGGCAAATCATCGTGGAATGTACAAAGACTTCTGTCAATTTCGTATCAGTTTACCGTTCCGTCGAGCACAATAATTGTCGTCGGTTTTACGAACTGACATAATTTGAGAAACGTATGTCGTATCACAAATTAATTCACCGACACTTGGGACAATGGAGACGGGACGGTTATCCACTCGAAGTGATAGCTTGCAACAGATTCGTGTCGGTTTGAAAGGCGGGCATCTATGTAGTGAAGATGTCAGTTGCCATAAAGGAACTTCGGCGACCACGGAATTGAGACACCTCCGTCAGCTTCTCCTGGTATATGTCGCACGAAGATTTCAAACCGCTGACGAGGGTACTAGGTTCTATATGGAATACAACCCGTTCCTGGTCATCTCTCAAGAATTTACATGGGAAACCGAAAGGAAGGTGACAAAGCTTTGAACTGGACTAAGCTTACGGGGTAGGTCCACCATTGCTTGTTGACTGCACTTCAGCGCAGTGCATTACTGAGCAAACCTGGCTATGCAAGACAGGCGCACTCACCAGAAGACCTAATCTGTGTAGCACATGGCAAGTGACTTGTTTTGTTCATCACATTCGAGTTCTCTCTGCAAGTATATCATATTTCCGTCTGACCCGAACAAAGCCAAACAGCTAAGGCCTACCGTCTCACCAAGGTACCATGACCTACGAACAAGAGGTGACTGGTATAAACGTATCACTACAATACCACCACCACTACAGATAGTGGTGTCTAGCAAAAGCAGCCAAGACCGATTTAGGTAGAAGTGTTAGCCGTATCCATTGGCAACAAATCTGATACTTGTTTTAATTCACACTTGTTCCTGAAACAGATGTGTTTTAACCACGCCCGATAATAAGGGAGACGGTATAACATACTAATGACTGTCTGCTAGTGGTCTTGTAATCAGGGCACCTTTTGTGTAACGGAAATAAGCTCTCCATGTATCCCCATAATCTATAAAACATTCACTAGGTTGATCGATGTCTACGAAGTGTTCACGTGTCTCTTCTGAAAGTGCTATTTCTCCTTGAAGGAAGTCGACTACAATGTCCGCTTCTTCTGATTGGTTGGTTGGTTAACTTGACCATGAAATCGAAACCAATGAAAAACGTCCTTCCATGTCGGGTCTTAGTTCTATTTGATTAATGCACCACTAAACTTGGTGTGAATTCTCTTCTTCAGATCCTCTGGAAATTGGATTTTCGAATGAATGCCAGACCGTCGCAACAAAGAATCCCTATGACAGATTGTCATAAGACTGTAAATAGAATGCCACCTCCACCGTCCTGAATTACCGTCACTGAAGTGACGTGACATGATAAAGAGACAACGAGTCGCGGGGATGCCACTGTCTGAACGACCCTCAGCGGGCATCTTATAGAGCAAAAGAAGACAGACATTGCCGCTCAAAATCAAGAGCCAAAGGAAATATGCACCGTTGTCTTGTTCAGCAACGCCCCAGTAGGTGTGAACCGCAAAGACCACAGAGAGTAAGTACATCAGGCATTTGAACAGGAGACACAAACAACCTTGGAGGAGGTAACATGTTCCGTTAGCTCTGAAACTGTGTAGCTACTCA